TAGATTTAGAATTTCGTCGTCCACCAATCACTCGCGGGCTCGCAACACCGCAACGAGTGGAGGTGGCAGCATCAGGCGCTGCCCTGTTGTTGTTGTTGTTGTTGTTTATTTATTTTACATCACATGGCAAACGGGCAGTTCTGCCCAATATTATGAAAGCGATGACAACCAGTAAGAAGAGTCAGAAATGAAGAGAAAATAAAAATACGAAAATGGAAGTAGCAATGAGGGGAGGCAGGGTCAAGACGAGCAGAAAAAATGGATCTCAAATTTACAAGTCGGGTCATCGTAGCATGATTCTATCGAGCCTCATCAGCAGGTTACGAAAGCCATTACTAAGTCTTGTACATTTAACCGAAGTAAAATACGCGTAGCATGCATTTGAATTCACGGACAGATACTATGGACTTCATACAGTCGGGCAGGCCATTCCAGAGTTGGCAGCTGGCTAGAAGCGGTCGGCATACGCCAGAAGCACTGTGGGCCAGGGGGAGGGGAAGGTAGTTGTGTCCCAATTGACCTCGAGTGGTCATGCCTGTCGGCGGGCCTTGCAATACAATTCGGGTTGACAACAGCTCACTGACGATTCCAGAACGGATTCTAAATGTCAGGAGTCGGAGCTTGCATTCCCCTCGTTCCAGCAATGGGCAGACACCCAGCCTGGTGTACAGGGGAAGAGTGTGGGCCAATGGGTGTTCATCGGCCACGCAACGGATGGCAATGTTTATCTAGTTTGGCTACTGTGTTCTGCTGGTTAGCGGACAGTCCTGGGAGAAACGCATTCAACGCATATAGAATGTCCGGTATGACAAGGGCAGAGTAATACAGCATCGCCTGCCGCACTGTTAGGCAGTGCCGGATCTGGCGGAGGATCCGCAGCTTCATAGCCGTGCGTCGGACGATAGAGGTGACTTGCGGTGACCAGCGAAGATTTTCGTCCAGAGTGACTCCGAGGTAGCGAGCCGTACTGGTCTGGGCAAGAGGCGTGCCAGTGCAAGTAATGTGGAGGTCGAGGTGTGCCTGCCGTTCAGCTTTGATTGCAAGCACTTGCGTCTTTCCGGTGTTGAGGATAAGCCCTTTGGCATCGAGTAGCCTGGCGACAGCCGACACTGCTGCGGAAAGGGTGATGTTGATGGCGTGAGCGTTAGCGTGGCTCAAGTACAGCATGTCGTCCGCGAACATTAGTGTACGCACCGGGTCAGCTACTGATGCGACACATCTCGTGTAGATCGCGAATAATGTCGGACCAAGCACGCTTCCCTGGGGGACAACGTACGTGCAAGCTGTTTCCTCTGAGCGTGTACCGTTGGCAGTGACCACACACTGGCGTCGTGCGCTGAGTTAGTCCGCAAACCAGTCCAGTGCCGTAGAGGAGACACCAAGTTCGAAGAGATCCTGGAGCAAAGTCTGATGTTGGACCTTGTCGAAAGCTTTGCTCATATCAATGAGCACCACGCCGGTATGCAGGTGCTGGTCTGCGGCTTCGTAAAATTGATCCACAGCCAACAAGACTGCGTCCTCTGTGGAGTGGTGGGCTCGGTAAGCGAATTGCTCGGCAGGAAGGAGGTCATGTTCGGTTAGGAGCACACAAAGCCTTTCATGCACAATCCTTTCCAGGATCTTTGAAACAACCGGGAGCAAAGATATAGGGCGGTAGTTCTTATAATAGCAGTTTCGGGGTCTCCTGCCTTGAAAATGGGGCGAATATGGGCCAATTTCAGCATCATCGGAACCTTTCCCATGGCCAGTGACACGTTCATCAAGATAGTCAGTGACGGGGCCAGGACCCGAGCGCAGTGTCGCAACACATAGCAGGGAATTCCGTCGCTACCCGTGGCCTTCCTCTCGTCTACCTTCAGTAGGAGAGCAAGCACTTCTTCTCATGTGGCTGGTTTGAAGCTGTTCAAGCCATCTGCTATGCCCGGTCCCTCAGGTTGGGATAGGACATCAAGTCGCTGCGAATCGCTGAAAACTTAACTGAATTGGGCATTGAGGGCAGACGCAGTGAGCCGAGTAGGGGTTGACGATTTCTTCCGACCGCAGAGGTCGTTGAGGACCTTCCAAGCTTTACGGGGGTTGGATTGACACGTGTCCAGTAGTTGTGTGTAGTAGGATGATTTCAGCTGACGAGCAAGCCGCTTTGCTGCTTTGCGGACATCTGAAAATGTGTCATAAAGTTCCGTGTCCGTAGGTTTTCGGAGCCAACGATGGTGGGCATGATTTCGTTCGCGGACTGCATCATGGTAAACGGCCGTTTTCCATGGGGATCTTGTAAGAATCTGATGTCTAGAGCTGGATAAGCGGTGCTCCTGGACAGGAGCATGCCTGTCAAGGAGTGAGGTGACCTTGTCATACCATAGCTGCCACATATCTTCCAAGGATTTCGCCGTGCTGAAGTCTTCTAGATGAGAGTTGACCAAGTCCTGGCAGAGCTGCGGAAGATTTATTCCTCTGGTGTTTCGGCTAGATCTGAGTACTGGCACGGTTGGCATTTCGAAGGCAAGGGTAGCCAATATGGGGAGGTGGTCACTGAGGCTATGCGGGAGAACATGGCAAGAGCCCACTGCACCGTCCTCAGCCAATAGGAGGTCTATGGTGGTTCTGGACCCACCACGTCCAACACGCGTCGATTCAGTGACGTGGTTCAAAATACAAAAGTTACCGCAGAAGTGTTGAAGATGCGTCAGCTGGGCGGCTCTGGAAGACGATGTGTCGATATTGAAATCTCCGACCAATGCAATAGGCGTGCCGGCCCTGGGCGCGTGAACTGAGTCCACAGCGTCAGTCAGCTTGTCCCAGCACGAGACCAGCGACCCAGGAGGTCGGTAGACTGTGCCGAGGATTAGCTTACCATTGAGGCCGTGAACGAGGAGAAAGAGAAGTTCAAGATCACCACGAGCAAAGTCTTCTAGCCGAGTAACATGAAGTGAGCTCCGTACATAGGCCGCTACTCCACCACCGAAGCCAGGTCTGTCTTGACGGATAAGTTTATAGTTTGGGATGTTGACAAGGCTGTCCGGGGTCTCTGAGGTCAGGAATGTATCGGCAAGACACATTATGTCTACGTTGTGCTTGTGGATGAATTCCTCGACCTCATCCTTCTTGTTAAGCAAGTGACAGTTGTTGAGGAAACTAATCTGGAGGCCCGCTATCTCAGACTGAGAAGCACTACTAGCACTGGTGATCGGGGGTGGTTGAGATCTAGAACCTAAACTATGATGATGATGCAAAGGGCTACGGGATTGAGTGAAAAGACCCGGAAAAAAAGGGGGCGGAGTTAGGATTAAGGTCAGACATAGGTGAGAATAATGATAAGAAAGTTATAGCGTGGATATACCTTGCAGGACACTGTGGCCGTTAGCAGCTTTCTCTGCGGCAGCGGATCATCACGTTGACTGCTGCGGTTGTCGGCTGGGGATACTGCTCACGGGTGAGGACGCGGGGATTGAATGTGTGTTTACCTGAGGCCAGGGTAAAACCTTCCTCATCCGGAGACGCATGGGCCGCTTTGCCCCGGGATACCAGCCGGAAGGCTGGAATAACAGGTGTAGTTTGGTTACCGGGAATCCTGGATCCCTGCTTCTGCTCTGGTTGCTGCTGCTGTTCCTGCTGCTGCTGCTTAGGCAGTGGTAGCCGCGGCTGCTGGGGATTGGCCTGCTGCCCTTGGGCTGGTAAATGACGTGCCTCGCTGTGGGGAGTTGCCGCACCAGTAATGCCATGTGCGTTCGCTGTTCCAGCAGTAATGTCCGCGGACGCCACTTGCTGCTGCTGCTGCGTGTCGTCACTGAGGCCAATTTCCGGACTGGACGTTTTCTCCCAGCCACGCTTCTTTCCCTTCGTACTCAGTACGGGGCAGTCCCTTGCCTCATGACTTGGCTCGTTGCAGTGCCAGCATGTTTTAGCCTGTCCTTTGTGCCATGTACGCAGTTTCAGCTGGCCGACTGCTACACACGAAGGTACGACTGTACGCGGTAGAATGGTGACGTACATGTACCTGGTGCCGGTTTCAATTTCAAAGTTCTCAACCCAGAATTTTATTTTCCTCGCTGAGGGACCCCTATCACTGAGCCAAATTTCAGGAATGAGGCTGCGACAGCACTAGCCGATAGGGAATGGGGGCATCCAGATACATGGACGCTGACAACGTCAGCGCCACTGATAGTGAATTGAACGGGCTTACCAGCAACAGAGATGCCTTGGGAAAGCACACGATCCCGGACCTCCATGCTCGAGACAGTTACTGAACAAAATCCACGACTGCCGTGGAGGTCGATCTGCAGGATGTCAGAGACGGCAATTCCGCTGCTCATGAGGTTGTCTATATAGAACATGTGCTGGCTTGGCCAGTCATCTTCAAGCTTGAAGGCAAATGCAGTAGAGACTGCAGCTCGGTTTTGGCCTCCCGCCTCCATTTTTGAAAAAAGAGTCCTGTACTCGACGTGCATTGCCGCAGGACCCTTGAGGACTCACGGCATTTAGCAGGGGTGACCAAAAGGCCACCCCAGCCCTACAAGTCCAGGGACCAAGGTAAAAACCAAGGAAAGTAGACTTGTAGGCAGAGCTCCAAAAATTGCAACTGTCTACCAAGGCCACACACACGCACACACACACACACACACACACACACACACACACACACACACACACACACACACATACACACTATCATGTGGACTAAAGCACTGCTCTATGCAGGAGGTTGAATTTCACTGGCCATTACTGTACACACAAACACATACTCAAGTACACACATCGGTGCTTTCCTTGTACATATGCATTACTCCTCTTGGGTCCCAGCTTCAGGTAGTTTATCACCAAACACCTTCCTTCACCTTGCTTCAGAAGAATATTAGCATATCTGCCAACCATCCCGATTTGGCCGGGATCGTCTCAATATCGAGCTACATTTGTATACATTTTCATATCTAGGTATGTCATTGTCCCTATCTCTGCTTGGCAGGTACGTATTATGCATCAGTAGTAAATATTCGCACACTTACCTCATTTTTCACTTCGATGTTGGCACCCTTCTCAAGAAACAATCGCACGGTATCGATTTGACAATCATCTTTGCAAGCAACGTGAAGAGGTGTGTTGCCTCCCTGTAAAAGAAGGGCAGATCCCGTGCTTGATGGAATAGTATAGGATCCGCATCTGAATGATATTCTCTTTCAAACATGTGCATTAGTCAACTACTTCAAATGTCTGTTCAGCAAATGGATGGGAGCTCATCAATGGTACGCTTTCCAACGGCCAAAGAGAGTTGGAAAGCTTGTGTCTTTGTGGGTAACTTGAACATTTGGGGCTCATGTAAAATCGCACTGATTTTGGGATTTCCCTGCAACTTTTTGCTTCAGCAAAAATGTTGTGCTTGACCGCATTCCTGTCACTTCGCAGTGGCTTTTCGTTGGTGCAGTTTGTATCCCACCCTCCCACCCCTGAATTCTGGGTGTGTGTTTATCGATATAATCTTATCGCCTTTCTTATTGGCCATGTGGCTGTGGCAGTTACGACTGCTTTTCTTTTTTTAGTTTAAAAACGTAGGGGTGGTGTGTGCGTCGCGGGCCTTTGTATGGTTACGTACAGCTTCAGATTGTATAGCTAGTGCCAGGGGAGTTCAATTGAATCTGCATGGGAAGAATACTACTGTATTGTGATTGAACTGAAGCTGGATGATGACCGTGTGGTGAGTGTGTTGATTTTTTCAAGATACCGTCCTGGGGCAGGGATGTAGGTCCTTTAGCTTGGATGGGTGTTGTTACATTCATTGTAACATCTTGTCGTTTCTGTGTGCTTTGCTGTGCGACTACAGTCCATTCATAAAAAGATGGGTCCTGGCTCTGGCGAGCTCCCGTATTTGGCGATTTTTCGTGATTTCATCGTACACAGTGCAGTGCTGCGAACTTTGAAATTTGAAAAAGGGTCCAAAAAGGGTGCCTGAACTGGGGTTCGAACCGCAGAATGCACTGTTGCAGGCGGGGTCAAACGGCCTGAATTTTGATGGTTTTTCCCAATTCAGTGCTTTTGGGGCAAAACCTGGCCGAAATCCTATTCTTGCTATGGCTTGCTTTTTGGACAAAAAAACTTCAGAAACATAATTGGAAGAGGATTCCATATGGGATTGCAGAAAAAAATTCAAAAAAAACTCAACGTTTGACCCATTTATGGCCAAAAGCTAGAAGTTCATTTTTTTCTGAATGGACTGTAGCAGCAGTATCTTGTGCTTATTTTTCTTATCTCTATGCATCCAATTATGAAGAAAAAAAAAGAAAAAAAAATCAGGAAGAGGATATAATATCAATAAATAAAGCCATTGCCGAGCCACCGTGCTCACAGCAGCCACCATGCTCACAGCAGAGACTTCTGTGTGTGTTATTGTCGTGAAAGTGGACCACAAAGACCATTCATGCCCTCAACAACAACATTATCAACCGATGTGTTTATAGAAAGTAGAAAATCGAGATATATACACCAGTTATAAAAACCTCGGCTTCGCCTCGGTTTTCATACTGGTGTATATCTCTATATACATTTGGTTCCTTGTTATAATACCGTATTATCTCTAATATAAGCACTGTCCTTTATTTTTTCAATGTACCTCCCCCCGTGCAATTAATGGAGACGTTCCTTTATTGGAGAATGTTCCATTATTATTTCAACCTCATTTCAGAGGCATGTTGCCATGCCAAATTCATGTATGACACACACGTTTGAGGGTTTTTTTGTTCGCCGGTACAGATAATGAATTTACACAGTGTGCTTATAATGGAGACTGAGCACTTTATTTTTTGAATGCCGCCCCAAGGTGTTCTATTTTATTGGAGACTGTGCTTATATTAGAGATAATACGGTATATACATGTACATGTACACACACTTGAGAGGGATGAAAAGCGTTTCCTCCGTAACTCTGAGTTTCACGGTTTTAACCGATCATCAGACAGCAACTTGACTACAATTTTCATGTACATATATTTCACACAAGATTCGGAATGTGCAAACAGTACAGGGCATATGGTATACATGCAGGCTTGCTAGTACGGATGTGTGTGTATATGTGCCAGTTTTATCATGCTATGGAATGTGTTTGCTTGCATATACGGTCGGAAGACAATACAATGTCCTACTATGAGTTGTAGGGATTAGGTACGATCGATCCCGAACTAAAAAATGTAGTGGCAATCTTCAATCAGGCAATCAGGTACAACATTACACCTTCAAGCCGCCGAGCCTGTTGGCAACAGACCCAGCACAATCAGGCATAAGTGTACCCACCAACCGAACTAGCAGGCACCGCACGCACGCACGCACGCACACGCACATACACACAATCATGTGCACTAAAGCACTGCTCTATGCAGGAGGTTGAATTTCACTGGCCATTACTGTACACACAAACACATACTCAAGTACACACACCGATGCTTTCCTTGTACATATGCATTACTCCTCTTGGGTCCCAGCTTCAGGTAGTTTATCACCAAACACCTTCCTTCACCTTGCTTCAGAAAAATATTCGCAAAGTATCTGCCAACCATCCCGATTTGGCCGGGACCGTCCCAATATCGAGCTACATTTGTATACATTTTCATATCTAGGTATGTCATTGTCCCTATCTCTGCTTGGCAGGTATGTATTATGCATCAGTAGTAAATATTCGCATTTTTCACTTCTATGTTGGCACCCTTCTCAAGCAACAATCGCACGGTATCGATTTGACAAGCATCTGCATCTCCATTGCAAGCAAAGTAAAGAGGTGTGTTGCCTTCCTGTAAAAGAAGGGCAGATCCCGTGCTTGATGGAATAGTATAGGATCCGCATCTGAATGATATTCTCTTTCAAACATGTGCATTGGTTAACTACTTCAAATGTCTGTTCAGCAAATGGATGGGAGCTCGTCAATCATTCATGCACTCAACAACATCATCAACTGATGTGTTTATAGAAAATATAGTAACATATGAAGCAGCAATTGTCGGAACGGATAATGGCGGGAACTCCGTGACGAGCAAAGACAGAGGTGAGGTGCTCGATAACGATGTCGTGGATGTCAGCCTTAGGACATCGGGATACAGAGAGTAGTAGTCTACGACCACAATGAACTGGTGAGTGTCATACTGGAAAAGATCGATTCCGACGGTGTGCCATGGTCGGGGTGGTGTCGTTGATGAGATCAGTGGCTCGACGTGTGGTCGACGGATTTCACTGTGGGGCAAGCCTCGATCAGGGCATTGATCCTATTGGAAATGCCCGGAAACCAGACCGTGGTCTGTGCCAGCTTCGTCGTACGCGACACACCCTGATGTCCTGTGTGAAGATTGTCGAGGGTGTCCTGCTCGAGGGAGCTGGGAATGAGGACTCTGGATTGCATCATGATGAGCTCGTCATTGATTACGAGATCGGCTCGGACCGGCTAGTCGCTGCGGAGAGGTGCAGGGAGATCCTGTATGCTCGAGGGCAAGCCATCGCGGATGAGATTTGTTATGTCCTGGCATGTTGTGTCGGCCTTCTGTGCTTGCAGCACAGCGCGTGTTGGGCCGGTGATCGCTGAGACACTAGACACGGCGAAAGCGGCGAACAGGCTGCAGTCGGCTTCAAATGAGAGGTCGTCACATGAAGCTGCGCTGTCGGTTGGGGCTCTGGAGAACGCATCGGCGCTGGTCAGATGAGAGCCAGGCACATGGATGGTGGTGTAGCTGTAGCGAGCCAGACGAAGGCGAAAACGGAGTACACGGGCAGGAAGCTCATGCAGTCGTTTCATGCTCAGTAGAGGTACCAGGGGCTTGTGATCGGTCTCCATCAGGAAGGTGTGCATACCGAGCAGGTACATCTCGAAGTGACTCGTGGCCCAGGTGATTGCCAGTGCTTCCTTTTCGATTTGAGCGTCGTTGCGCTCCGCTGGAGTGAGAGAGCGGGAGGCACAGGCTACGGGCCGCCAAGTTGTCTCAGGCGAGGACCGCTGGTAGAGCACAGCGCCAAGGCCATTATGACGATGCGTCTGCGGATAGCTGGGTACTGTAGTTGGGGTTGTACAGCTGCAGACAGGTGGGCTTGCAAAGCTCCTCCTTAGTGGCCTCAAAAGCCGTCTGTTGAGTGTGGTCCCAGGTCCAAGCTTTGCCTTTTGACAGGAGCTCTCTGAGCGGTTGGCTGATAGAGGCAAGATTCGGTGAAAATTTCCCCAGCTGATTAGCGAGACCCAGGAAACGACGCACGTCTGAGGCCGACTGCGGGGTTCTGAAGACCCGGATAGCTTCAGTCTTGCCGTCATCAGGTCTGATGCCGTCGGGAGTGAGGTGTACCCCGAGAAACGTGAGATCCGGGGCTGAGAATTGGTATTTAGCGGGGTTCAGCGTGAGACCCGCTAGGACCAGGCGCGTGAGAACGGCACGTAAGCGGTGGTCGTGTTTCTCCTGAGCGCGGCCGTGTACCAGAATGTCGTCCATTTGACAAGCGACACCCTCCAAACCCTGTAGGATGGCGGACATCCGCTGCTGAAAGATATCTGGTGCTGACGGTATGCCGAATGGAAGCTTGGTGTAACAGAATCGAACCTGAGGTGTGATAAAGGTAGTCAGAAGCTGGGACGCCTCGTCGAGTGGTATTTGCCAGAATCCACTGTTAGCATCGAGCTTAGTGAAGACTGTGGAATCGTCGATCTGACCGAGTGTCTCGTCGACTGTAGGGAGCTGGTGATGCGAACGACGTACAGCGTCGTTGAGCGGTTTCAGGTCTCCGCATATGCGGACCGCACCTGTAGCCTTCGGTCTGGCGACCATTACGGCGCACCAGTCTGTTAGCTCGAGGATACGCCGGATGACGCCCAAGTCCTCCATGCGCTGCAGATTAGCTTCTACCTGTGGGCGGATTGGCAGCACCACGTTGCGGGCTGTGTAGAGGCAGAACGGTTTGGCACCGTCGGTGAGAGGAATCGAGTAGGGCTCCTTGAGGCTGCCTAAGCCGGAAAACATGGACGGAAAGTCAGCGAGCACGGCTTCTGGAATCCGGTCAGCTGCAGAGGCTGCTACTGGAACAGGTTCAGAGCCGGGAGGGATAACTGCCGCGCTCTGCATGGAGTTTGGCCCGTCG